GTGTGTGTGTGTGTGTGTGCCATGGCACTGGGAGGTGTGTGTGTGTGTGCCGTGGCACTGGGAGGCGTGTGTGTGTCTGCCATGACACTGGGAGGCGTGTGTGTGTGTGCGTGTCTGCTGTCACACTGGGAGGTGTGTGTGTGTGTGCCATGGCACTGGGAGGCGTGTGTGTGTGCTGTGATCCTGGGAGGGGTGTGTGTGTGTGTGTGTGTGTCTGCTGTCACACTGGGAGGCGTGTGTGTGTGTGTGCTGTGACACTGGGAGGCGTGCGTCTGTCTGCTGCAGCCGAGGCAGGGCCACTGTCTTGTGAAGTTCGCGGCGCTCCTCCCTGCCGTGGAGTAGGTTCTGTGGGCTGCTTGTGCGTGGCACCTTGCTCCTCTCTTGCAGGGATGTGTCCTGCTGTCAGGTTCCTCTGGTGGGGCTGGGAGGCTGTGCCCACTTTTCTGTGGTACAGGCAGTGCCATCTGTGGCTGTGTCTTCAGTCACCCCTTTTATTAAATTCCAAGAAGTGGACTGGGTCAGAGGCCTAGTGATGATGTGATGACACATTCGATTATGGGCTGTGACAGTTCGTGTCCCCAGCGCCCTCACACCCTCCCCACCGCTGATAGCTTTCTTTGCCAATTTCATCGGCCGGAATTACTAATACTGTCTCATGGGCAGTAATCAAAGACATGGCAAGTAGGCCATTTCTACATTTATACTGCTTCAAGTGTATATAAATTCACAGTTAAAACAATTAATTTTAAAAAACCCTCAGCCACTGCTGATGATAGCGTGCAGAACTTGACGTTTAATGTTCAAATGAAACTGGCCTCGCCTCTTGGGTCAGACACACAGAGCCATGAAGAACAAATCCTTTGTTCCTGTACCTCTGTATTAGCACATGATTTTTACCCTGATGTGGATTGCGTGACTGGAAGTTTTTTCAGAGTTATTCTTGGGGGCATTTTGAATTAAGACACGAAACTCTTGTCCTTTGTTGGATAGCTCATGTGACCACACTGACGGAACTGGTGTCTTCACTGACGTCAGAGTGTTTAATGCTAAGCTATAAGTTGGTCATATCCTCAAATAAATAGGCTGTTTAGGTTCATAAAACAGCTTTTATTTTCCTACCTTGGACGATCACGTCTATTTGCTCCGCATCATAAACACTGTAGCTTGTCAGCAAGGCCAGCTGATGGCTTCCGTGTCTTCTAACCCCAGTAATTGAGTGCTCCTCAACCTGCACCTCCCTCAAAACTGCACACAGACTTTTTAGGCTGGGAGCTCTCAGGGTGGGTGTTCAAGCCTGGGGGACTCTGGCTGGGAGTGAGGCTTCGATTAACTAGGATGCAGGTTAGGAACCCTCGTTTCTGTGTTTGTATCATCTGAAAATTTTAAGAAGTCCTCACGTGATGAACACCTCTTTCCTACTCACCTTGCGATCCCTAGCTTGTGTTGCGAAAACATTCAATACGCGATTGAAAAAACAAAATTTATATTATTAGTCCTTCTGGCCAGGCGTGGCGGTGGCTCACACCTGTAATCCCAGCACTTTGGGAGGCTGACGTGGATGTATTGTTTGAGCCTAGGAGTTGGAGCCCAGCCTGGGCAACATGGTGAAACCCTGAATCTACAAAAAATACAAAAACTAGCCTGGCATGGTGGTGGGCGCCTGTAGTCCCAACTACTTGGGATGCTGAGGCAGGAGGATCACTGGAGACCAGGAGGCAGAGGCTGCAGTGAGCTGAGATTACACCAGTGCACTCCAGTCTGGGCAACAGGGCCAGACCCCGTCTGAAATCAAACAAAAAACAACTTATGTCAGGCCTTCTTTTTTTTTTTTTTTTGAGACAGAGTCTCACTGTTGCCCAGGCTGGAGTGCAGTGGTACAATCTCGGCTCACTGCAACCTCTACCTCCCAGGTTCAAGCAATTCTCCGGCCTCAACCACCTGAGTAGTTGGGATTTCAGGTGCACACCACCACGCCTGAGTAATTTTTTTTGTATTTTTAGGGTTTCACCATGTTGGTCAGGCTGGTCTCGAACTCCTGACCTCAGGTGATCCACTCGCCTTGGCCTCCCAAGTGTTGGGATTACAGGTGTGAGCCACCATGCCTGGCCTTAGGCCTTTTAAGAATCAGATAAACACCCTTCGGCCTAGTGTGCAATGTGGATTGACGTCAGCCACGGCCCCGGGTGTCAGAGGCAGGCTCCCTCCTGTCCCGGGTAGCATGCCCCTCCTGAAGCAAGGACATTTTCCACAAATGTGGAAATAGAAGTGATTTTCTGCCCAAAAATAGAACATGGAGAAAAACATTTGGCGAATTCAAGGTGTGCACGGGACACCGGCACGGAGCCAGAAAGGCTGCACGGGCGCCTCCAGCACCCCCCAGGTCTGTGGCGATGCACTGAGGGCACCCCTCCCGAGGGGACGCCGTGGGAGGGGCTCTCACAGCTGTCTGACACCAGAACACAGGTCAGCTTCCTGGAGGGTTTTGTTTGTTGGGAACTGTATTCGTTTTTGTAACAGGATCTGAACATCAGTGCATAAAAACTTTTTTATATACTTTAACATTTATTACAGAATTCTTGCATGCACATTTCCGAAAATATAGGGAATTCCGATTAAAGACAGTTGAAATAGTTTCTGTTGAGCAGAGAAAGAGCTGTTCTGCAGGGCCTGTCTCCTTCCAGCGCCGTGGCTTCACTGCATGGCTGCTGTTTCCTGCAGCCTCTGGAGCACAGACAGCTTCTCCAAGGGGTGCCGTCAGGCAGGGAGGCAGCCCTGTGGGCTTCGGGGGCGGGTGTGCGTCTCCTCTCACACAGCGGCTGTGACATGGGACACATCCTGTTCTTTTCCGTAGCTCAGTCTCCTCTGGGTGTGATGGAGCCTTAAAAAGCTGGGCCCGTTTGCAGGAACTTGCATCTGCGAACTCCTAGCTGAGTGTGTGACACTCAGAGAAGCTCCTGCTATAGGCAACTGTGGTTTTTGTTGTTCTTCTTGTATTTTTAGCCTTGGTTATGGCAGCCTGTGCTGTAAGTTGTTTAAACTCAACCTGGAACTCACTTTATGTGAGCTAAAGATGAAGAGAGCTTCACTGGAGGAGTCACCATAAAAGTACATTCTCAGGAGCATCTTTTCTTCGGTTTTTCTTTCTGACATCCTTTCAGACTGGGCTTCCCAGATGATTGTGACACACATGCTCGGCCAGCTGCCCTCCGGTGCACCGAGTTCCTGCCTCACGAGGGCAAGGGCCCTAGGGCTCCTGCCCTGATGTCTGTGGGAATGGTAGCTTAGGATGAGAAGGATGGGCAGAGAGACTGACTGCCTGTGTCAGGGAGGCTGAGTGGCCCCGAGGCTTGGATCAAGCAGATGTGGCCGGGGGAGGGGTGGTCCCGGCGAGGCACTCTGTCCACTTCAGTCTCTGGGGCGCTGGGTTGAGTCTTTGAGCACCGGAGTCTGTTCCGGTCTGCTGGGAGAGCTGCTTCTGGAGTTCCTGGTGTCTTACTCTGTGAGGTCATGGCAGGATAGTGAGGTGGGTGGCTGCCCGTGGGATGGTGCAGCCACTGCTTCACCATGTCCGTGCCCACGTGGTGCTGCTGGGCTGCAGCTGTGGGTGTGGCGGTGGCGTGAGTCGTGTTGGAAGTTGTGTTTGTTCAGACACACTAGTCCTGGGGGCTGTTGGACACGTCACAGGCGACATGCCTAGTGGGGTGAGGTCAGTGGCCTCGGAAGTCCAGAATCGAGCACGCTGGATGGCAGGGTCTGCCACGCAAGCAGGTGTGTGGCCAGGGAGGGGCCGTGCGTGGTGCCTCCTCCTTGAGCACATCCTGGCCGTGCGCTTCCCGCGGCCGCAGCGGCCTCATGCCTGCTTTCTCCTCTGCAGGTCAAACGATCAAGGAGCAAAGGCGGGCTTGCCGGCCCCGACGGCACCAAGTCTGTCTTTGGGCAGATGTGTGCCAAGATGAGCTCCTTTGGCCCCGACAGCCTCCTCCTCCCTCACCGCGTCTGGAAAGTCAAGTTTGTGGGTGAGAACCCGTGTCCCCGCAGGTGGTCTCCGGAGCCCACGAGGTGCGGGAGCATGGGGCTCTTCACGCAGGGCTGTGTGAGGGACTCGGAGTGGCTGGTTCTCCCTGCAGGTGAATCTGTGGATGACTGTGGGGGCGGCTACAGCGAGTCCATTGCCGAGATCTGCGAGGAGCTGCAGAACGGACTCACGCCTCTGCTGATCGTCACGCCCAACGGGAGGGACGAGTCCGGGGCCAACCGCGACTGCTACCTGCTCAGCCCGGCCGCCAGGGCGCCCGTGCACAGCAGCATGTTCCGCTTCCTGGGTGAGCTTGGCACGGCGTGGCTGCAGACTGGGCCTCCTCTTGAGTTAGAGGGTTCCATCCGTCTGAGGAGTGACGGTGGATGTCAATATTTGCTTGTAGCTTTTGAGACTCTTACCAATAAAAGTGACTTTTAATGTCGATTGTACATTTCACCCCCATTATGGAAGCGAACAAGCTGCCGTTGGCGTCCGTGCTAGCACGGAGGGCCTGACAGTGGGGGGCTGTGGGGAGCTCTGTGCACAGCCCCGGCCGCGTGCTGAGGCCTGGAGGCTGAGATGCTGTTTCTGCGTCTTCAGCATATCTGAGACTTGGGATCAGAGGGCACGGGGTTTTCGGCCTGTCCCCGCATCCTGTCCCACTGAGGGTGTGCAGAGTGTCCCCGGCTGCGCATCCCATCGCGTCCATCACTTCCTGGGTGGGGCTGTTGCTCCCTGGAGGACACCCCCATGGGGAAGTTCCAGCTCTCTGCTGTCAGAAGAACAGGAATTGGCCTCTGTGTGGCTTAAACTATCGTGTGGAAAGAATGTGAAGAGCTAGAGGCTTATAGGTACAGAAGGAAATGGCAGAGCAGGACTGGCCATCTTGAGGATGGGCCTAGACCTGGGGTTTGGGTGTTGCTCTTTCCGGAGGCTCTGAGGCCTCCGCGTGGAGCTGCTGCCAGTGGCGTGTGTGAGTGAGTGGGAAGTTCGGCTGCCCCTTTCAAGCGTCCTCTGCCACTTGTGTTCTGAATGAGCAGGTGTGTTGCTGGGCATTGCCATCCGAACCGGGAGTCCCCTGAGCCTCAGCCTCGCCGAGCCTGTCTGGAAGCAGCTGGCTGGGATGAGCCTCACCATCGCGGACCTCAGTGAGGTAACTCCCTGGGGTGGCGGGCCAGGGCCTCGGGGGTCTTGTGAAGAGGCACCATCTGTTTTGGGGTCCAGTCAGGCTGTGAGCTCTGGCCTGCCTCATTGCCCAGGTGACGCGGAGGCTGCTGGCTGTGGACCACCTTTGAGTAACAAAGGTCTGTGGCGATGAGGCTGGTTTGCTTCTAGAACTTGGTAGACCATCCCTTTTCTGGTGTTTTGTAACATACACTGTCTTGTCAGAGAGGGAAGCGCACTGCCTCTCCTGTGAAGAAGCTGAGCTTTTGGGCGGCTGGGGACCATGAGTCAGGCTTGCAGGAGAGGCTCTGTCCTGGGGTGACCACAGCCAGGCCATCCCCTGTGGCTTCGCTGTGCCTCAGGTGCAGGGAGGGAACCCTTGCTAGCCAGTTGCTGTAACTTCCGGGTGGTTAGTTTTAAGCACTTGGCTGAATTGTGGATCCTTCGTTCAGCTGCTTGGGTGAAGTCCTCTCTCATTGCTCGTCCTTCACCTTGGTGTGTGCCACGTACTTGCAGCCTTGAGGTGCACGTGAGGCTGACCCTGGTGCCTGCTTCACAGCGTGCGCTGGGTGGGCCGGGGTCTGGGATGGAGCCCAGCCCTGAGTCGACACATGGGCTTTCTTTTTCTCCTGGAAAGGTCGACAAAGATTTTATTCCTGGACTCATGTACATCCGTGACAACGAAGCCACCTCGGAAGAGTTTGAGGCCATGAGCCTGCCCTTCACGGTGCCGAGCGCCAGCGGCCAGGACATCCAGCTGAGCTCCAAGCACACGCACATCACCCTGGAGAACCGTGCGGAGTACGTGCGGCTGGCCATAAACTACAGGTTGGTGGTCCTCTGTCTCTGTTGCACTGACATAAATTGCAGAAGTAGCAGAAGATGTTTGCGTGGACACCTGTGTTTTCAGGAGTGTCATACACAGGGAAGTAATGGATTTGGCTCCGGCTATTGCTGAACTGTATGTATGAAGCTTATTTTGTGATCAAGGTCGGTATTTATGCTCTGAAATTCCAGGCTCTAACCAGAATACCAAGAGCAATAAAGTCTACCCCTTTGGGGCACTGTGCCGGGACAGGCCACCGTTTGTGCCCCTGTGTGCTCTCTTCGTTGGCCTCCCTGGGACAGGGCTGCGTCTGGGGCTGTCTTGGCCCCTCCAGGTGGCTTGTGTGACACAGAGCAGCCTTCGCCAGGTGTCCTGGTGTGACTTGCACAGGCCTCGGGGTGCCATGATTCAGGCTTGGGAGGTCAGCACCACCACCCACAGCTTCCACCGCGTGTCCTGTGTTCCCTGGAGCACCTTCACGTGTCTGGATGAGGCCCCGTGTGGCGGGCAGGCCCTGTGGGCTCTGGTGGGGTGGTCCCGGCACGTGTCCTGCGCGGTGCTGTCCCATATCGTGTCGCTGCGGGTCAGCACACACAGTGTCTTGGGCCTGGGGCGGAGGCGCCTGTCTTTCCCTCTTGGTGCTGGCTTCTCCTGGAGTGTCCAATGTGTGTTGAGGGTGGGGTCTTGGGGTGTGTGTAGGTGCTCAGTAGGCTGCACTCCGAACGCGGATGAGATGAACTCATTGTCGGGCCATTAAGCTCGCTTGTGCCGTCTGAAGCTGCGCCGCCTCCTCCCAGCTGGGAAGTGTGTGGCCGCAGTGCTGCGTGCTGAGGACTGGTGTGAGCAGAACAACGTCAGCGTCACTGAAGACGGAGTGTAAAGTGAGCTTTTTCTTCCAGGCTCCATGAATTTGATGAGCAGGTGGCTGCTGTTCGGGAAGGGATGGCCCGCGTGGTTCCTGTCCCCCTCCTCTCTCTGTTCACTGGCTACGAACTGGAGACAATGGTACGCCGACCCCCAGGGTGGGCCGCCCTGGAGCCACCTTGCACCCGTTGGCCCCCAAATCAGTGTCACTAGTTAGTTTCTGAGTCAGAACCTTGCCCTGTGTGTTGACTGCAGCGGGTGTGCTCTGAGTACGTCCCTGCACCCGCCTGCAGGAGGCTGTGCCCCCCTGGGGACCCCGGACGTTCTCCCACTTCAGGCAGGCCGTGGTGTGTGGAGAGGGAGCGTGATGGAGTCTTGCTGAAATGCAGGGTGGGAGGCATCACGTGGCCTGACAGGCATCCTCCCGCAGGTTTGTGGCAGCCCTGACATCCCCCTGCATCTCCTCAAGTCAGTGGCGACCTACAAAGGCGTCGAGCCCTCGGCGTCGCTGATCCAGTGGTTCTGGGAGGTGATGGAGTCCTTCTCCAACACCGAGCGCTCTCTCTTTCTTCGCTTCGTCTGGGGCCGGACGAGACTGCCCAGGACCATCGCCGACTTCCGGGGCCGAGACTTCGTCATCCAGGTGGGCTCCCGGCCGGGCTTGTCAGCCTGGGCCTCTGTCAGCCGATGTGGCCAGCTCCTCAGCACAGTCCCACAGCACACAGAAAAACAGGCCTCTTGTGTCTTCCTGGAAATGAAAATGCAAAACATCCAACTTCTCCCATGTGAAGGCTCAAAATGTTAGGATTATATGTTCTGGGTACCATTACCTATTTGTAAAAAATGTATCTGGCCGTCTCCAGAATACACCAGTGCTCTGTCAGCCCGCTCTGAATTTCAGACACACACATGTAAAGCACGCGTTCAGTTCTCTGCTTGAATTAGGTGAGTCACTAAGTTACTTGCTACATACCGAGAAAAATGAGGCCGCTCGTCAGACTGAGACAAGAGTTTTGCTTTGGGTTCCTACTCTTTGGGCCAATAGTCAGAAACAAGCTCGATGGACCTGCTGGGTCGCTGAGAGGGATGGCCTAATGCCCCCCGTCTGCAGTGGGACCCTCGCAGCAGCGCCCGGGCCGATGGATTGATGGGGTCCACTGTTCCCGGCACGCACGTGGCACAGCCTGACCTGCATCTCTGCCAGGGTCAGAAACGTCGGTGTCTTTCAGCGCCACCGTGGAGAACGTGCATAGTGTTTTATCTTGGAGGGTCGGTAATTCTTAGTTTTTGTCCATAACTCTTGCTGTTTCCGAGTATCTTAGGCTATAGTGGCCAAGTCTGGGCTGGTGGACTCGTGAAGAGCTCCCTCCCCCTGTGGTCCCACCCCTCCGCCAGCCAGGCTGCCTGCGTCCGCATGGGGTGCTGTGGTCCTCGGGCCCTCTTCCCGGGGTAACCTTGGAGAGTGGCATCTCCATAACAAGGTGCTGTTTCTAAGAAACTCTAGGTTCTAGGAGTTAGTTGCTGCTTGTTATTCCTGAAGTTGGTCAGGTGATGTTTTCTGCTGTTTTGTTCTTAGCATAAAATACGGTTTTGTGAGAATGAAGAGTCTGGTGAGCGCAGTAAAGCAGACCGCAGGTGTGCTCCGTCTCTGATCACGTCATGTTTCTGCCCAGCAGGTGTTGGATAAATACAACCCTCCAGACCACTTCCTGCCCGAGTCCTACACCTGTTTCTTCTTGCTGAAGCTGCCCCGGTATTCCTGCAAGCAGGTGCTGCAGGAGAAGCTCAAGTACGCCATCCACTTCTGCAAGTCCATAGACACAGACGACTACGCTCGCATCGCGCTCACGGGAGAGCCGGCCGCCGACGGCAGCAGCGACGACTCGGACAACGACGACGTCGACTCCTTTGCTTCGGACTCGACGCAGGATTATTTGACAGGACACTAAGGCGGGGAACGGGAGCCTGAGCCCGGCGGCGGAGCGCTTCCTGCTGTGGAGACTCGAGAAGCATCAGCCGAGCGGGAAGAGCCGGGCGGGAGGAGGCGGAGAGCCGGACGGCCCCGTGGGAAGGAAGAGGAAGGTCCGCCTGCCCGCGCGGAACACTGTGGACGCTCGCACGGGGGTCTTCGCACCCGTAATGCTGCATTACACGTAGGACTGTGTTTACTAAAGTGTGTAAATGTTTCTATAAATACCGAATTGCAGCATCCCCAGAAATGAATAAAGCCTTTTTACTTGTGGGTGCAGTCGATTTTTTTCTTTCTTCTTTCTTTGAAGTGTCGTGAGTCATCTTGATTGTATATTGGAAATAACTGTGTAACAAAGCATATTATAAATATTTCAATGAATTTTACTCTGAATCTGCTGAAAGCCTTTTGAACATTAAATGATCAGCATTACTTGAACGCATCCAGAGGATATTTAAACCAACATGAAAAACCGAAGGCCGTTGGGTGTCCCCCCTCCGTGTCCCGTTCCAGCACATGCCTGTGTCTTCTGAACTGAGGCCTTTCTGTGAACAGCGTCGTAACTTCTATCATGGAAAGTGTATTATACATAATGTTTGTGTCATGTATATGCCTAAATTTTAATTCCCTATAAATAAAACATCTGTCATAAAAGTGTAGGCTGAGCTTTCTTAACCAGTTAGACTAGCACCAGTGGGTGTACGACAACCAAAACATCAGTTCGTCCTTGATACAGCCGTAGTTAAGATTTTAGCCATGTGTAGGTTTTGTTCATTACAAAAACCAACCTCAAGTCAGAAAGAAGTGCTCAGGAGAATGGAAGATTCCAGGGGACCAGCTGGTGCCAGGGCTGAAGGCTCTGGAGCCTCAGGGTTTCCTCCAGCTCCCTCCCCAGCCCCATCTGTCTGCACAGCCTTCTGGGCTGAGTCTTCGGTCCAGGCAGCCATGGTGTGGGCTTCGGGCTGCTTGTGTAGGGCACACGCTCTACAAAGGGTCGGACTGAGACCAGGCTGGGAAAACTGGCTGGCAGGTCTAGCGCATTAGAACTTGAGCCGAACAGTATGAGATTGAGGCAAAACTACGTATTTCACATTGGGAGACCGTTTATTCAGGGACGCAGTGTTTAGCACTGGCATAGAAGATCCCAAGAGGGAAAAGGTTCTTTTTTTTTTTTCTTTTTTCCTGAGAAGCTCTCCATGGCTGACTTGGTAAATGCCAGGATCAGTCTATCTTCAGCTCAGCTCAAAACCTTCAGAAGCTGTTAATATCACCAGCCCTTCTGTCGTCAGCTTTTGCTGCGTAGCAGAATTGGCCCGAAGTCGTGAGAAGCACAAACGTGCCTGGCGTGGCTGGCCTCGGCTGAGTAGCCCTGGGCCTGCGCTTAGGAGGGGCTGGACTTCACGTCTCTCCTGGCTTCGGGCGTGTATGCCGTGCTGGTGACAGGTGTAAGAGGGCCCAGAGCTGCACCGTCCCCTCCACCCACTTTCCATTGGCCAACCCCCACATCAGGGGGGCAAATGCCTTCTGCCTCTAGAACATGGGTTCTCTGAGGATGCCTGGGGTTCCTGAGGCCCTTTCAAGATGTCCATGAGACCCTCTCCTACATCTCTCTGTGAGATCAGATTTTCTTCACCTCCTTCCACCAAGACAGAAGACAACGTAGGATGCACAAACAAATGGGAATTCAGCTGTCTTCCGTGAAAGCAAAGGAAAACCTCCACCCAGAAGCCTACGATGCCAAAAGGAAAAGGGTGAACTTGGAAACAGTCACACTGCTTGCCTTCATTCTGCGCCCAAATGGGTATCTCTCCAGGTGGCCTCCCCCACCAGACAATGTAAAGTCACAGCTCATCGGTCTGTAAGAGACTAGAGGAGACTAGAAACTGTCCGTCCGCCCGCTCCCTGGCAAATGCATCTTTGGCTTCTTCCTTGACTCCAGGTTGACTTTATCTGATGTTAAGTGCAGATCCGTGGAGTAGGAGACAACGCATCGACTCCCTCTGCGCCTTGCGATTCCCGGAGCACATGAGCCTCAGGAGGATGTGGCCACTTGTCTCAATTTTCCTACCCTCCCTCCTTTTTGTTCTTTCCTCCTTCCACTCCTGCTTTTTCCCCTTTAAATATTGAAACCTTCAAAACTCCCTGGAAAAAGTTCTGGACACAGATCCCACTGTGGCTTGTGTCTCGTTTTTCCCTGGCGTGTTCTCAGCTGTGGGAAAATCAAACTGTAAATTGATTGAGGCCTGTCTTAGACACACTTTTTTTGGTTTACACTTCCACTAAGCCAGACAGAGAGACTAATAATAGTGTCAATACCATTCTATTTTTTTTTTTTTTTTTGAGACGGAGTCTCACTCTGTGGACCAGGCTGCAGTGCAGTGGCATGATCTTGGCTCACTGCAACTTCCATCTCCTGAGTTCAAGCCATTCTCTGCCTCAGCCTCCCAAGTAGCTGGGATTACAAGCACCCACTACCACGACTGGCTAATCTTTGTATTTTTTGTAGAGACGGGGTTTCACCCTCTTGGCCAGGCTGGTCTTAAACTCCTGACCTCGTGATCCACCCGCCTCGGCCTCTCAGAGTGCTGGGATTACAGGTGTGAGCCAACGCGCCTGGCCCTCACTATTTTTTTTGTTTTGGAAAATAAGTTTTCAAAATTGTGTCCATGTTAACAAGTCATGGGTTCGTTTTTGTTTTAAATGTATTCAATATTTTAAATTTTTTCAGTTGTAATTTCCAATGTGATTGATAAAACCCAGATGAAAATTATTGAAGATCCTGAGAGCTTTGCAGAGTAAGCTCTCAGTATCTTCAATAAAATTATAAAAGAGTCCTGAGAGTAAAGCTGGGATGCCAGAGTGGGGTGGGCTGCAGCAAGGCCAGGCCCCCACGCGGCAGCCCTGCTGGGACGGATGTACCTCTGCGTTCTGTAGTTAGAGCGGCGGCCTAAGAGTTTGTTTTTTTTTTTAACTGAAAGAATACTGGAGGGCTATTCTCTTACACCACTTCATTCCTACCCCCAAAAAAAAAAAAAAAGAAGGGTGGTAATTTTCATGGCCACAGCTTCGTTTTTGCACAGGAGGACAGTTGATGTCACGTTCAGTGTAACTTTTCAGTCATCCAGCTTCTGAAGCCTGAAGTTACACAGTTGACTTTGACAGAGAAATGTGTGCAGCAAAAACCATTAAACTGGAAAGACAGACCCACGTGTGCTGGGAGTGGGGTGTGCTGGGAGCGGAGACTCCAGTCACGGTGGCAGTTGTTTGGAGGCCACAGCCCATGAAAACTGGGGGTGAGTTCAGTGGTTTCCACCTTGCGTTTGCTTTTCTGCTGATGGCGGTGACGTCTGAGAGCTGGAGCAGGGGCCACGTGGTGGAGCCAGCAGCCCCACCCTAGAGTGGGAAGTGCGCCTCTGGGTGCTCCAGACTCAAGGGGTTTCCAGCCTTCGCATTGCCCCGGCTGCAGTGGGTGCAGACGAGCAGTTTCCACTGTACTTTTCCGAATTCCAGACCCACAGGAGCTGGGAGCTTGATAAAATGCTTCCTGAACAAAGCCAGCTTCAGGCAGGAGTGGGTGCGTAGGGTTTGTGGGCTGAACCACGGTAGGAACAGGCAGAGGCTGGGGACTGCACACCCTGCACAGCAGGTGACCCCGGGGACCCTTAGGAGGGATTCGTAAAGGGGAGATGCAGACAGATTTCCCATGAAGCGGGGCGGGAGGCTGGGCTGGGAGGCGCTTTCTTCTCTCTGTATGCTGTGGTCCGGGGAGGCAGTGCCTCCCTGCCCAATGCTGAGACCTTCTGACTTTCCTGGGCCCCTGTGGTCTGAGTCACAATTGCCATCCAGGGCAAGAGGCCAAGGGTGCCTTCACTGGGTCAGCTACAAACATAAAATATGCACACACACGTACACAAAAGCCACCCTGCTTTCCAGCCCTCTGCCTCCAAGCAGCCACCTTTGGCTTTCGTGTCTGATTCCAATGATGCTGTTGTTTGCCAAGAACTTCTAGAGGGGCCTTATTTTGGGATTTCCTTCTGCGATTTCCTGGCCCAGCCAAGAAAGGTATAATTCTATGATCAGATCTTGTTTGGGACCCAAATCTTCATGCTCAGCTTAAGAGAAACCAAGTCGCTTCTGAGGCTGCCCCCAATCACTTCTAACGGAAGAAGCTCGGTGCCCCTTGAGGGCACGTTTGCCCTTGATGCCATCTGCAGGCAACGCTAACTCTCCGCCACCAGGAAAGGAAACCCCATCTGGGCCTGACTCCAACAACCAAGGGGACTGACTGACAGCACGTGGCTGTGCCGGGTGTGGGTGGACACATAGATTTGACTGACCTGAGCCAGTCCCTGGCAGGGGAGTGGGGTTTGCTCCGTAACTATGGCTACTCAGGGTCTATCCCTGGCGCTGGGGGTAGGGTGCTCCCTCCCCAGACATTCAGCAGTTACAGAAAGATCTGTGACCTGTGAGACACAGGGAGCCACATGCTTGGCCGCAGTGCCTGCCCTGCTGGTGTTTCACAGACCTACCTGCCCAGGGAGCCTCCCCCAACCCCACGGTGTGCCCCTGCGCCTTCCCGCCCTGGAACAGTGTTCTCAAGACGCTGGGGGAGCAGGTGCATGAGCGAGGATGAGATGGCATTTCTGGGACCGGACGGGTGCATCAGTGGTCACAGGCTCCCTGGCGCCCTCATCCCACAAGGATGGGGTCGTCGGCCAGGCTGCTGGTCAGCTATGTCCACACCTAATTCATACGGTGGTCTGAACCGACGTGGCTGCACACGCGACAGTGAAAGTGACCTCAGAGATCTCGCGCTCTCCTGCGGTCAGACCCCTGGCTGGGAACCTCTGTGTCCCGGAGCCGGCCATGCTGAGAACATCCTCAGTCCCTGCTCCCGCCCTGTCGCAGTGCAAGGTGCCTTGTTATAAGGCAGGAGACCTCTCAGCTCTGCTGTTACACTGTGGATGGAGCCTCTCACTTCCTGCCAACCCCTGTGCAGGGCCTGGCCACTGCAGCTGTGTGTGTGTGTCCATGTGTGTCTCTGGATCTCTCTGGATCTGTGTGTATCTCTGTATCTGTATGTATGTGTCTGTGTGTATCTGTACGTCCGTGTGTGTATATAGCCATGTGTGTCTGTGTATCTGTGTGTCTCTGCGTGTATCTCTGTGTATCTATGTGTGTCTGAGTATCTTGTGTGTGTGTGTGTGTGTGTGTGTGTTGCAGGAGGGACTGTCAGCAGGTGTGACCATGGCGTCCTGGCCTCCGAGCACATTCACTGCGCCTGTCCCGTTCTTGTTCTTGTTGGTAGGGAAAAACCTGTCCGCGGTCCTGGGCCGCTGCCTCGGAGGTGAAGCTGGAAACCGGCCCGCGGAGAGCGCTCTTGGGCCGCCTTAGACAGAGCTGTTCTCCGCCCGCCCGCGCCCAAGGCGGGATGGGGGGTGGCAGTCGGGGATGGGTGGGATGGGGGTTGGGGGAGGGGGCGAAGGTGGAGGTGGGGGGATGGGGGTTGGGGATGGGCGAAGGTGGGCGTGGCCGAGTGGGCGTGCCGTGGGCGGGGCCAGGCCTGGGGCGGGCCTGGGTGGGGACCCGCTGCGGAAGCGCGGAGCTCCCTGAGTTCTCACTTCCAGGCCTGCGCTCCGCTCACCATCCGGAGC